TTGTAAGCTCCACCCCCCCAAATCTCCAATCAAGAGCTGGCAACCCTAGTCCTTGGCTCTTCTGAGGAAGACACCCTGGGGTATGACCCTCCCTTTTTACTGCCTCACTAAGGATTGCCCCACCGGGTTTGACTAGGCCAGGGTGGCCTCCAGCCTCAACCTGCACCTTCCCTAAATGGCTACCCTGCCTCCCCCCAGCCAGCTGGTGCCAGCACATTAAGGCTCAGGGCTGCACCTCATAGTGACTGTTCCTCACTTGCCCTGCCCTGCTGCTTTGGGCATGCCGTTGGCCACTTGGGCAGGAATGACTTCAAGGGGCCTAAGACCTGGAGGGCAGGCTTCCCTGCTGTGTCAACTGGCAGGGGCTGGGCAGAATTCTGCTGTACAGGCCATTGCCAGGCAGGCTGCTCCAGCTGGCCCTCTTCCCTTCGCCTCTGGTAAGCACAGGTGTGCTGGGGCTACCCTGGATACAGGGAAGGGACCTCAAAGGGCATTTTAATAGTACGCAGTAGTGGTTATAAGTTTAAGGTAGAAAGTCTTGTGTTCAAGTTCAAATTTCTCTTTGCTGTGCACTAACTAAATCACTTAAACAGGCCATGAATTCTCTCAGGCTGAGCCTTTTCCGTCTCCTCCCTAAGTGCAATAAAGGAATAATAAGATATTTGGTAAAGAAATTTTCATTCAAAAAGCACCCTATAAATGCTAAGCATTATCATTATCTATTTCCACCAATCTTTTTTTTTTTTAGACTGAGAGGCTGGGGGGGGGGTTGAATGTTCATTCGAGTGAATGTTCATTTGGGCCCCTCTTTTTTCTTTTCTAGTTCCTTTTTTTTTTTTTTTACTGTCAAGTTGCATCCAACATAGAGTAACCCCATAGGCTTTTCAAGGCAAGAGACACTCAGAGATGGTTTTTCATTGCTTTTTTCTGAGTAGCAACCCTGGGCTTTCTAGGTGGTCTCGGCTAACCCTGCTTCATTTCCGAGATCTGATGAGATCTGGCTAGCCTGGGCTATCCATGTCTGTGCTTTTCTACTCTACTTATATATATATATATATAGTGTGAAGTATTTATTCTGCAAGTGGGATTCCCTCCACACTTATTTAGTGACTTTGGGACCATTAAGATGGGATCTAGAGGAGAGGAGTTGGCAGTGTTGCCTGTCAAGAATCTGGATGCCAGGAAGATGCATAGCCTTCTCCCTGCTGCATGTAGCATCTCTTTTCCATTTGGGGTACCGTTACATCACATTAACCCCCCCCCCTGCATTCTGAAACCACACACACTATGCTTACCTCCTCCTTGAGCTACGTTTCCTCTTGCTTCCTATCCCTTGATTTAAATTGGAAGAAACACTAACGGGTGGCATTCAGGCCAACAGACAGCCCCAAAAAATGGCTTTCTCTGCCATTGCTAATCATCTATTCAAGCAAAGACATTTATTTGTTATTTTTACCCTGGCCAAATGTGAACATGCCTTGCATGTATGCCAAGCTAAAGCAGCAAATGAAAAAACTAGCCTCTATGAGGACGTTTTCCAACCTTCTCTTTTTTGCACATAGTCAGGGCAAAAGAGGCCCCATTTTAGATCTTGGAGCAAAGATGTATTATGTACTTTTCATCTTGTTGGAGATATACTGTATAGTTTCTATATCCCTGACTTGGATAACCCAAGCTTGCCCAACCTCATCAGACCTCGGTAGCTAAGCAGGGTCAGCCATGGTTAGTATTTGGATGGGATATGACCAAGGAAGTCCAGGGTTGCTGTGCAGTGGTAGGAAATGGGAAACCACCTCTGAATACCTCTTGCCTTGAAAACCTTATGGCTGCAACACACACACACATATATATATTATTCAGTGTATGTTCTTTATTAAAATTATATTTCTGAAATGGCTGAATAAAGCAGAGCTTCCACATGGCTGCAATCTCTGTTATTGCTTCTTATTATTTCCAGTGCTGCTAAAGGTTACTGATTTGAGGTTGAAGTCAATTGGTCCCATCAATCACAGCCATTACAAGAACACACAATTGCAGTACATGTGATTTTTAGAACCAAGAGTTTTAGAACTCCCCTTATCCCACTGACTCACATCATTTGTGGTAAACGTGTAAAGAAAATACAGAAAGACTTTCGTCCCTATATACCCAAGGGAAACAATAATTTTGAACTATAAATCCTTTTGCTCTGGCAGAAGCAGGCATGTGGGGGGATATAGGGTCTCCGGCTTCTGAAACTACTCCCTAGAAAGCACCTAAGAAGTTGAGCCTACAAATGTGGGGAAGGTGGATATAAGTCAAATGAAATAAATAAAATAAAAATAAATAAAGTTGTTTCACTTGGGATTCCTCGTCTGTGTCTGTATCAGCCTTTTTCCATTTGATTTACTGCTGATCTCAAGAAGTTTCACTTAGATTGTTTGTAATGCATTGTGACTGATTTACCACAAGCCGCTGCTCCGCCCTTGCTCTTCCCTCCCCCCCCAATTGTATGCGTCAATTTCCCACTATTTGCTGAGCGGCCGCATTTTGACCTGCAGCTTTGGCCGATTTCTCCCACGTCTTCTCAATCCTGTTTTTTGAGGATCTTTATGTGTGAATGTTGCCTTGTATTTATAGTTAGGATTTTTAGCCTCAGTGTGCATCACTTGGCCACATTGAACCCCATTTGCCACGGTGATGCCCCCTCGCCCATCCTCGACAGATCCCTTTGGAGTGCCTCACAATCCTCCCTGGTTCTCACCACCCTGAACAATTTAGTGTCATCCGCAAATTTAGCCACTTCACATTTCATAAAACTATGCTATGCATAACTGAACTGAACTGGCCCATCAGCCCAGTGGGCAGTTTGCCATGTCATTTTGTCAGTTCTGTTATTCAAAGCCCAGCTGTAGCTTCAGTGACCTCTCAGGAGTAACAAGCAAAAGCACAATGAAACAACCCACAGAACAGTGATTGCTTTATTTAAATAAATTCAGCGTCATCGGAAAGAAACAGTTAACATTAAATACATCAGACAAATATATACAGCTTGGTATCAAAGGTATACGCAAAAACATCTGTCTTTGAAACGGGGGAAAAAAGAGTCACAAGGATTTGTATTAAAACAAACAAAAGAAGAAGAAAATGGGGAAATGTGACAGGTCACACGTCAGTCTCAGTTGGAAAGTTTCAGGATTCAAGTGACTCCAGGCAAAATGCCAAATATAAATTTGGCATCTTGGAAAATTTAAAACAGCCCCTCTTGGAACAAAGTAACCCAAAGCTTGTGCTCAGTCCTATGTTCTCCAATGGGATTTGCAGTTGGGCCTCAGAGAACAATCAAGCCTTACAACTAGATATAGTAATCTCTGTGACATCAGGAAAAAAAGTGACAGTTCCTTTGTGGCATTAGAATAGTCCCATTTTGATGGAGCTGAGGCCTTAAAATGGAAAGTGGAAGTGAAGCATTTGCCGCATTCATGCCTCAACACTGCCCATGCCATTTTCCCAGACTGTATCCCAAGCTCTAATGGCAATGGATATGTCCCCAGGCTATTATAGCTTAGAAAACTCAGGCATCTTGGCAGCATTACTGTTCTCATGCTTGGAAAAGCAATCCAAACATTGACGCTCTTGTCAAATGCAAGGCAGGATGGAAATAATCATTCTCCAGTTCAGTGTTATAACTTTTAACAATTGTGCTGTAGTTTAAGTAGAAATGCACAAGCATTAGTGAAAAAAACCACAGTGACTCAATTCCTACAGCACACCAAACCATTGCTGGAAGAGCTTACCTGTGGTTTTGTGCAATGTCCAATAGAGTAGTCAACATCCTGTCCCTTGAATAGAGGCTTATTGTAAGGAACGGGGCAGCTGAAAGTTTTCACCACATGGAGGTAAACAACATCACCTGGTAAATCACATCCCGTTAAGTCTCTATTAAAGGGATGAGACATTTTTCTCCAGGCAGTTGATAACACTATAATTTCTGCTGAAATAAGGGATATCCATAAGTGGAAGGCCTCTGTTTCCTGCCGCAGCATAAAATGGCCCCCCAATGCTGTTCTTAGGGAGGGGGGGCAGGAACAGCATGGAGGAGTCAGAGGGAGCAAGGAATCAGTGACCCTCCCCTGGTTAATACAAGTTTTCACGGGATCCAATCCACTGTCCAATGTTCTATCTGAGTTGGCAATCCATAGTTATAGCTGTTATTTTACTTTCTGAGGCCCCTGCCCGACCCAAACAGGTGTGCTGAGCAGATAGAGTTTAAAAAGCAAAGGAAAGGGGGGGAAAGCCCCCCCCCCCACAAAAAATCAATATGTAGAAATGTATGCATCACATGCAAGACGAATGATGCAAAGCTAGCCTGACCCATTCCCACAAAAGAAAGCTTCCTTTCATTTTACTGGGTTTGCTCCAAAATGGCAGCGTTAAAATAAAAGGAGGCCAAGTGGCCCCACAAACTAAGAACACGACCTCTGCTGGTGGAAATAGATGCAGCTTCTTCATTCTTCCATGGCCCCAAAAGCAAATTCTACTCAGATATCCTTCCACAAGCCTACAATCTAGAGATGTTTTACAGCCACGTATGGCTACCCACTGTACTTCATAATCCCTGACCTTGGTGACCACATCTCCATGATGTCACTTTTTGTCTGTGAGTCCTCCTTGAAGAATACTGTCATTGTATGTAGTGAAATACAATCACAAATCCACTGGGCTAGCTGCTGATATTCTGATGCTTGCCTCTGTCTCCCAGACACTTACAAGATGCTAGAGTAAGCAAAGGCTATGTAAACTACTATTTTCTTTAAAAGAAATATTCACCCTTTCCTTAATTTGAAAGGGCAATCCCTTATAGATTACAATGACTCGCTCAGTAGCATCCATCCTTTCCTTCCTGCTTCCAGCATTGCACAGGCCACCCCTTCATCTCAGGTGGATAAATTATTAAAGGAGGAGGTGAAACTGGTAATCTGCTGCTTCAGAAAATGCTGCCTCCCGAATACCTGCAAATGCTAGGAACTTTGGTGGATGCTTTCTGAAGACCCTTCGCTGCTGCCATTCAGGAAGGGTGCTTCAGCCGTTTCCCCCAGGTCGGCATCAGCTGCTTCCTCTTGGATTGTGAGGTGAACATCTGGCAATGAAGACTCGCTCACGCTGCTCCCTTCCATGGAACAGAGGGAGCAGGCCATGCTCTCCTGCAGCATGTTCAGCATCATTGGGATCTGCACCGACTTCAGGTCCAAGATGGTCGGCAGGGGCCTGATCGCTTGGCCCCACTCCCTCTCTTCGTCTTTGTAAAGCAGCAGCAAGTTGGATTTCTTTTCTTTCCTCTTGGATTTCATGTAGCCCAGCATTATTCCCATGAGAAAGACTCCATAGAAGGACATAACAATCAGGATATAGAAGTATTCATTTCCATTCCCGCCACTTTTCTCAGTAGTGGACATTTCAGGGCTATGACTGGCCACAGCAAGGACAGAGTGGGTCATATTGGGATGATCCATCGTGAACATCAAAGTTCTCTGGAGAAAGGAGGAACCTGGAACAGCAAATGGATTTAGGAATGAAAACCAAAAACCAGTTCTCTGGAAACAAATGCTATCTTAGTGAGATGTGAATGAAAACATTTAGTCTTCAGTTGAGGTGCATTAATATTTCGGCTGGTATACACAGGGTCAACTCTACAGGTTAACTGAGGAAGTCATCTCAGGTGGAAATTAGGAGTGCCACCAACCAGCCTCATGTCCTGCCCGCCCGTCACTTCTGCATTTGCTGCCTGGGCTTGGGGGCTAGACCAGCTAATCCTCCTTGCCCTCTCTTTCCCAGCCCTCTAACATAGCAGGCCGCAAGTTTCCAAGAGGAATTCCTCGTCTCCCACGGCATTCCCTCCTCTTTTGAACGTTTGGCTATTCTTTTACTAGCTCTGGCGATCCTGCCAATTACTGTGGTTATCCAGGCAATCAAGATGATGACAGAACTCTTACAAGCAGAAGGAGTCTGGAAAGAGTTTGGGGAGGTCTTTAGAGCATGTGTGGCTTGCTGTGATTTTTAAGAGATCTGGGGAGAAAGAGGAGAAGGGAGGATTACCTGGTCTAGGTGGCGGGGAAGGGTGGAGGCGAGACTGTGTGCATGCAAGGGGTACAGGAACACTTGGAGGAGGGGTGGTAGGCAGGACAGATAGGCAGGGTGCCATTTTGTGTTCTGCCTCAGGCAGCAACATGTCTTGAATTGCCAGTGGATATATGGCTTAACAAAGCAGGAATATATCAAGGGGGACAGGTTCAGCAGATCACTCTCAGTGACAGTTATGCCACAGATACACAGCTGTATGAAGGCTGGAGTAGTGTACAGTGTCGTCTGAGAAATCCTGGGTTCAAATTGTATTTCAGCCATATGCTCAGTAGGTAGCCTTAGGCAGGCCATTCTCTCATCCTTGATCTCCCATGGCAAAAATGGAATAATAATGCTGTCCTACTGTACTGTTTAAGGAGCTGCGGTGGCTCAAGTGGTTAAGACTCTGAGCTGCAGGCCATGGAAGGTCAGTAGTTCAGCAGTTCGAGACCCGAGTTGCCACATGACGGAGTGAGCTCCCGTCTCTAGTTCCAGCTCCTGCCAACCTAGCAGTTCAAAAGCAAGAAATTGCAAGTAGATAAATAGGTACCACTTCAGTGGGAGGGTAACAGCGTTCTGTGCGCCTTGGTGTTTAGTCATGCCGGCCACATGACCACAGAAACGTCTTCGGACAGCGCTGGCTCTTCGGCTTTGAAACGGAGATGAGCACCGCAACCCTAGAGTCGGACTCGACTGGCTTTCGAGCAAGGGAACCTTTACCTTTACCTTTACTGTACTGTTTTCCTTGAAAAATTACTGAGATAATCTTATAGGAAGTTATTTGAACCCCAGCTGCTATTGTTCTTATCACATAACTCTGTATCATCCCATCTTGTTTCTTTCCTGTAAACATACTGTCCAACTGAATGTATATATCATTTCATCAACTGGCTTTCCCACAAGCAATACTTGCTTTTTTTGTATTAAGACACACATTGAACAATATGACAGAAACAGTGCAGAAATCATGAATGAACATATGACCTCCCCCCCCCCCAAGCAATTCTCAAATACAAGAAATACATAAATGGGGAAGGCAAAAGTGGGGGGAGACTTATCAGGTAGGCTTATTGACAAAGCGTTGAGTCGGTCAGCATTGCACTAGGGGAAACAGCAATAGAAAAGTGCAGTGAAGCAAAGAAAAAACATTATTCGAGCCACTTACGTGAGCCTGCAAATAATTTCTTTCTTCCCAAAGCTCCAAAGAAGACTGTTCCTGTCTCGGATTCCTGTGCTCTGAGAACTTTTCCCAGCCGAGGCCAGAATTAATAGGCTCTGAAGAAATGTTTCATCATGTGACTTTGCGTTTACAACAGTTTCATGCTGGAGTCAACGAATGAACTCCAAGGCCTGTGGTTCAGCTGCTGAACTCCTGACACCTCCGTAAAATGAAAGGGGTGAGAATACTGAGTCACGTTTTCCGTAACAAAGACCCGTGCCAGAGAGTTTGGGCCGGCATGCTGCACAAACACTCGCAATCCAACATTGAGTTATGTTACTTGCACTGAAAGCTGTTTTGTGTATATAAGCCTCGCTAATGGCTTTGCCCAGCAATATAGTGAAGTGAAAAAGCAATCAGCAGAAAGTCCCTTTCATGGCTATGTGCAAGTGCTGGTTTTTTTCCTGGGGCTAAAAGACTGCCAAGATTCACAAGGGGCCTCCAGACTTCAAGCAAATTCTGCTCAGGGGTGATCCCTGGGTGGTTTGATCTTATTGCCACTGTGAATGAAAGGTGTTCACAATGGAACAGAGCCTCCATATGGTGTGATTCCTGCTTTGTGCATCCCCACCCCCACTGCCTATGGCAGGCTCTTTGCTAGTAGTAGTAGTAGTAGTAGTAGTAGTAGTAGTAGTAGTAGTAATGTGTATCACTGTGTTTTAACGCTATATGCTTGTGTTTTAACACTATAGCAATATAGCAACTATAGATAATTTTAAAAGCCTACTTGTCTGGCAGAGTGGAGGGAAAATCTGATACCAGGAATCCTTACCTTCCCCTCCACACTTTCCACAAAACCACTTTGGGTGCGATCTTTTAGGAAACGTTATACCAAAGTTGGCTTGAGAAAACCTTTAGCAGCATCTTTGTGCATGCACCATGTTTCAAAAATCCTGTGACACCCTGATCAGCAGGCATTTGTAGCTGTTCAGTGTCAATCAAATATACTGAGCGATAGGCTCATGTCTGCTTAAGACGTTCTAACGCAGTAAGTCTGACTGTCCAACATATTGGCAGCAAAATTCACAACATCCCTACTCAAGATCAGCCTCAGCTTAATCATCAGAGGGTGGGCAAAACCAGCTCAGTTCATATGATCTGAATACATGTTGGCGCCACCAAACAGAAGATGATGACATCAAGATGAACGGACGAACCTCCCGAGTTACCGTTGGTTTCGAAGTTTCTTTATCAAACAGGTCTCAGTTCAGCGTTCTTGTGCAATAAAGTCAACCACAAGGGTGTTCTTAAATTCAGATTTCTTCCACAGCTCTTTGCTAACAGTTACACCTTTGTCCGATTGAAAGGTGTAACTGTTAGCAAAGAGCTGTGGAAGAAGTTATCTGAATTTAAGAACACCCTTGTGGTTGACTTTATTGCACAAGAACGCTGAACTGAGACCTGTTTGATAAAGAAACTTCGAAACCAATGGTAACTTGGGAGGTTCGTCCGTTCATCTTGACGTCATCATCTTCTGTTTGGTGGCACCCTATTGTTGAAAAACAAAGATTAAAACATCATGAAGCTCATCAGTACTATTGTTTAATTATTGTCTATTATTCTTAATTGTATGCACTTTGCAGCAATCCATTGTGTTCAGGTGTCATTTCATTGCTGCTCCTTTTGTTGGTATATGATTCTGAATACATGTTGAACAGTTCATAAAATTAATTTGTCATGTGCAAGTGTGCTGAAAATCAACTTATCTGGTCTCCAGCCAAGAGAACTGTGACTGGCCCAAAGTCACCCAGATGGCTGCATGTGGAGAAGTGGGGAATCAATCCCAGTTCTCCAGATTGGAGCCCACCACACTTAACCACTACACCAAACTGGCCCTTTTAAAAGAAATAAACAAAACATGTAAAGAAATACTTATTCATCAGTATCCACAGAACTCTTTCAAGGAAGGATGAATAGAAATGTGATAGATGATGATGATAGAAGAAGAGATTGGAACAGTTTACAATCTCCCTTCCCTTCCCATCCCCTCCCCTCCCCTCTGAAAGGACTTGTAACTGACCCAAGGTCATACCAGCAGCTGCATGTGGAGGAGTGGGGAATCAAACCCAGCTTTCCCAGATTAGAGTCCATGCTCCTAACCACTACACCAAACTGGCTATCTCCAGGATGACAGATAAGATGGATGGATGGGTGGATGTATACAGGGGTCTTTTCATAGAAAAAGAGCTGCATGAGCTCATTAGCATAAGGTATGCCAATGAGCTACTAGGCTATTAGCATAAGAGCTCATTAGCATATGCCACACCCCATGACATCACCGGAAGTGATATCAGAAGGGGGAGCAAAAGGGGAGGAAGAGAAATCTTCAAAAGCCCTGCCTTCCCTTCCCCAGCCGGCCTGCTTGGGGGGGGGGGGCGAAGAGAGAAGGGGTTTAAAATTTAAACCCTTTCTCACTAGAGTTGGGCCGCAGAAGGAGGAAAGAGGGAAGGAAAGAGAAGGAAAGAAGGAAGGAAAGAGGAGATAAAGAGAGAGAAGGAAAGAGGGAAGGAAAGAAGAAGGGAAAGAAAGAGAGAGAGAGAAGGGAAGAACATAAGAACATAAGAGAAGCCAATGTTGGATCAGGCCAATGGCCCATCTAGTCCAACACTCTGTCACACGGTGGCCAAAAATACCAGGTGCCATTAGGAGATCCACCAGTGGGGCCAGGACACTAGAAGCCCTCCCACTGCTGCCCCCCCAGCACCAAGAATACAGAGCATCACTTGCCCCAGCCTGAGAGTTCCTATCTATACCTTGTGGCTAACAGCCACTGATGGACTTCTGCTCCATAGATAAACATAATGGATAAACACAAATTGGATAAAAATTCCTTCTTGAATCTGTCCATGCTTGTAGCCACCACCACCTCCTGTGGCAGTGAATTCCATGTGTTAATCACTCTTTGGGTGAAGAAGTACTTCTTTTTATCTGTTCTAACCCGACTGCTCAGCAATTTCATTGAGTGCCCACGAGTTCTTGTATTGTAAGAAAGGAAGAAAAGTACTTCTTTCTCACACACTGCCTGATGGACAGGGCCCAAGTGAGAGAAGGAAAGGAGGGAAAG